GAGAGAGAGAGAGAGAGAACAGAAAACATACTAAGAAAGCAAAAAAGAAACATATAGCACACATTTTCAATTTGAAAGGGAAAAATGACAGGTCAGACTGGCATTCACATACCTCCAATAGCAAATGGCTGTTCTATAATAGATCCTCCCAGAGGAATTGAGTATATCTGACCTCCTCCATACTGGTCCCATCCACCAACAATCAGGCCAGTCCCCAGCATGTTCTGGTAATGTGAAAATTAAAGCACAGTGTTAAGTCAAATCACAATATTCTGAAGCATTTCAAATGCAAAACAGAAAAAATTGAAAATAAAATAGAATGAACTAGTTCATGAACAATGCAGAGCCCTTCAGTAGGACGATAGAAGTCAGAATTGATCCAATTAACATGAACCAAGAGCAAGAGTCAAAGAAAGAGGTGCAGATAAAACAGCCTGCATTCTGTCTCACTCAAAAAAAAAAAAACAGCCTGCACTCTGTCACAAACTTAATTAACAGTGCAACATACAAATGGTTGAGAGAACTAGTTCACAAAGCCAACAAAGGAAACAAAGGAGGCATATCAAGCGACTGTGAAAGAGAACCCGCAAGAAAGCAAGAAATCCAAACGCATCATAGAAACAACAAACTAAAGAATTGTCATGATTGTGGTCTCAGGTGCAGTGTGATTTGAAAAATTGTGGCATATCACACGCAGAACAACTGTGAATATGATGCACAATTATCGAGCATGACAAATAAAGAGCACATAACTATCAATTGAACTGGACAATCAAGTATCTACAATGAATTCATAATTGTTGGTCTTCAATTGGAATATACACAGCCTTTCACAAAAAAAAAACATGTTGGTTAACTTAGAAAACTTCTAGGTTAACTTGGAAAACTTTGCTGAATGTAGTGATAAAAAAGGAAAATTTCAATAATTGCCAGGACTATTAATAAACTTTGGTCTTAAATTTTAGCTTGACCATCCAAAACAACCAGATGAACCGTAGTACAGAGCTAAAAAGAGTCTGTCTTACCTTGTTCTGATATGACAACAATCTTGTCAAGTTAGCTGCCACTTTGACTGTGGCAGGCTGCCCAAGTTGTATTCTGCAATGAAGACTACATAAAATCAAACCAATAAACCCAATGTTTGAATCGCACACTTATATACAACAAATATATACAACAATTCTTTCTTATCAACCATTTGGGGGGAAAAAAAAAAAAAGGTCTTTCCAAACTTCAAACCACATTATAAAAAATGGGTTGACATCGACCACAGTGATACAAAAGAACGCCGATCTTGGGAAGTTCACAAACAAGGTTTTAAGTTCATTAAAAGATGCAGAAAACCCATCAAAAACAGAGCAGAGTCCACATGTATATTTCAAAGTTGAAAAACAGAACCAAGCATAACTCAGTAATTCAAATGACTTTCTCAATATTATTTAAAATTGTTACAAGAGACCTGCAAAATAAGAATATGTGGAGCTCGTGATGTCAACTAGATGACCAGCAGGATATCACATTGTTCCCTTGAGCAGAAAAAACAACTGCAATGATGAGTCTTCGATGCAGTAAGTGACATCTAAGGTTTTGTCAGCCAGAAGGTTTAGGTCTATACATTATGAAACGATATAAATTTGAGCAGAGATGATTTGAAATGTGACACAAAGTAAATGAACTGCAATACAGATGAATGCTGAAGGCACAGATCCACTAAACTCACAAATAAAACCTACAGTAGACTATGCACAGGCAAATGATGGGTTAGGCAGGTAAATGGGAAGTGACACAGAAGTTGGTTTGTAAGGGATTAAATGCCAGATTCATTGAATAAAAATGGAACCTAGACGGACAACATTTGAACTAAAGAAAAGTTTTTACAAAAATTGTGATCTGATTAGGGTTCTCTAATCCTCGCAAATTGCCCTTTTTTAAGAAACACGACAGCAGCCAATCTATTGCTAATCAAAATTTGATCTGAGAATGATTTATGCCTTGATTCAGAAAATCACCCCATAACTTTGCAATGTGTGTTTCTTCCAGTATTCCACAACATTCTCATTCACCCATCAGCCATCCCAAAGCTCGATACAGTACAAGAAACCATAACCTACAAACTCTTTTGGTCTGTCCAGAAAATTAGGGAACACAGTAGCACTATCACAATACATCAATATGTTTCACAATCTCAGAACACCTGATGCATATACTTGACAAATGTATAACTAATCAAAATTCCTAAACAATATCATTAAAAAAAATAATGCGCCACAGCAACCATATACTATTATGCCATCATCCAATGAGCAAATAACTGTATACCTAGCATTACCTTGGATAGAACCAATAAATAAATAAATCAAAGAGGCAAGATAAATCAACTCACATGTGCTGGTGAACATAATAGCGTACATAGTCAGAGACTATTTGAGAATCTGCAGCCTGCAAGATCAGCAAAAAAAAGTAAAGATAATTCCGCACACAAAAAACATTAAGTGCTCAGCCAACCAGCACCAGCATCACATTCTTGCACCCTATTTCCTAGGGGTAATATAACATTCTTGCACCAAGATATTGGTGAAGAAAGATAAGAGAGATAAGCTGAAAATAGAGTCCATAATAACTGACGATGCAGGTGTTTATCAATGTGATTGATTCATTCTTACCAAGGTATGTAAGTTCAGATGAGTACATGGCTATGTATCCTCTTTCATTCAGTTAACCCTCATTCATTGAAGAGAACACAGTATGCATCAAGTAGTACACCAAAGAGCAGACTAATAAAGACGCATGCAGTTGAGAAAAAGAGGAATGAACAGAATGGGAAAGAAATCCTGAAAAAGGATATATATATATATATAT